TGGCCTGAAACTATTTATCCCACGGTGGCCTCCAACCTTTAGCCTCAGTCTCCCTAATACTGGGATTATAGGCATTAGCCGTTGCAGTTGCTAACGATAACATTTATTTTTTAACACTTTTTTATTATATAGTTAAATTAGAAACAAGCTTGTTTCCCATATCAGTCCCAGATCCCTCTCCTTCCCCTCCATGCCCGCTCGCCCCCACGAGCCCCCCAACCCGCACTTCATTCCCCAGGGAGGGTAAGGCAATGATAACATTTATTAACAGGTGAAAACAATGAAGATATCAACCAAAAATTTACAAACACTAGTGACCAAAAAGAAAAGACATAAGAGGCATACCCAGTTCACACATTAGAAGACTTCATTTTCAATGATGTTAATTTTCTATAAATGATTCACTGCTAATCAGAATTCAGATAGGGCTTCCGTGGTGAAGGTTGACAAGTGAATCCTAAAATGTAAATGAAAATTCCCAGAGCCCAACTTGAAGAATAAAAGTTTATTCCAAGGAAATAGTTTCAAGTTTGGCTTCATAGTCATCAGGGATATGTCTAGAGACAGTGACACCTTACCTCTTACATAATTAAATGCGCTTTCAAGGAGACATCTAGACACTGATAATCTTAAAAACATGTCAGATGTTTCATATGCGCAATCAAGTTTGAGAACCACAGCCCTGTAGCATACTCTCATACTGCATGTAAGATGACTGTTCAGTCATGCTACAGATCCACATGCATTAAGATTGATAAACTGTAATGAAGAATCCTGTGACAAGAGAAGCAGAGAAGCCACTAGAAGAAGAGACCCTGCTCTGGAACACTGTTTTTAACTGGGGGACACAATATAGCATTAGAGCTTTTCAGCCAGGTATGGTGTGGGACCCCTCCAATCCTAGCTCTTGAGACCTAGCAACAGATGATCTTTATGAGTTCAATGCCAGCTTGGTGCATATAGTGAATCCCTGACCAGTCAGAGCTATATAGTAAGATACTCTCATTTTTTCCTTTCAGTGTCAACTGCACTAATTAGCTCTCTATGGATATTGACCCTCATTTCACACCATATATAAAATAATTTATTTTGGGCAGAGAACAGATCTAAAGGAAAGAGTAAATACTTTGATTTCAAAAGGCTAACATATTTTCATAATTCATGATAAATACAAATTTCCTTAGTAACACATAATAGAAATGTAATTGTAAATCGAGCACTCTAAGAGTAAAATTGAAAACTTCCCCTCATAAAAAGGTACTTCTAAGAAAATTATATTGTAAGGTTCATAGAGGAGAAGATATTCACAACAGAAAGGATTGCCATATATATATGGTACCATATATCATCAAGTCATCAAGAAAAATTTGTAAGGCATAATATAAATAAGCCAGACCAAGAGAACATGTCCTAAAGAGAATCTGCAAACATCACAGAATAGAAAAGAAAATATTGTCGATCTTATTAGACGGAAAGAGGATGTGAAGTAAAACCTGAGCTTCCTGAAAGGTTCCTATCAGAAAGACTAAAATCAAGATGACCAATGACAGGAAATGTCATCAGGTGTGCTAGTAAGAACTTTCAGAGATGTCTGATGGAAATATAGACTGAACAACTGCTTAGGGAATGTTTCCTTCACCACCTACAAGGCACAATATACACACTACTCAACATAGCAACTTTGCTTTTTATTAATGTCCTGTGAATATGGATGTATAAGAGAATTTCATGATTAAACACTACCAGTGACTTTAAAATAACCCAAATGCCAATCAGCAGTAGAATGCGTAAGTAAATTTTGGTGTATTTACCCAATATTATATTATACACTACTAGAACTGATGGCCTGCATCTGTAAATCCAGGCTCTCAGTAGGCCAAAGCAGGAAGGTCACAAACTGAACACATGCCTGGACTACAGAGTGAGTTCAAAGCCAGTCTGTGGAACATAGTGAGACCCTGTACCAAAATGGAAATTGCGAAGAGGGTTGGGGCTCTTGCTTAGTGGTAGAGCACTGTCCTAGCATGCACAAAAAAAGAGAAGAGAGAGAAAAAGAAGAAATAACAAAAGAAAGAACATAGATAAATTGTGTAAAATAGTATTGATTAACATTACAATACATGTACACCAATCAAAAGAGCACATACTACACTAAGTTTATACATATACAAAAGTCACAGAGCATTGGTTAATTTGGGGAACGGAGTAGATGACAATTGAAAAACATACAAGATGAGTCTTCTATAATTCTTGTGGCTTTCTATTTCTTGGATGACAGTTCCATGGATGTACTTAATGTGTGGAAATTCATTTTAATTAAGAGATAACACAGCAGTAAAGTCATAAAGAATTAAGACAATATTATGAACAAGTTTCCTTTATAAAACAATGTGAACTTACCATTTCAAGTTAATATATAAAATCAAGACAATCTAATAATATTCTTCATTAGATTTCTTAAAGAAACAGTTGTTATTTTTTAAATATATTTTAAAATTCTATGAAGAACTAAGTCAAATTTGGAACACAGAGTAAAAACAAGGGAGTCAGAGATACCCTGAATTTAAATTAACACTAATTTCACAGCTGCAATTCAGAAAAGATCATATGATTGGTCACAAATAATAAAAAGAAAAAAGTCAACTAACAGAAGAGAAAAGGTACTTATTTCCAAGACAAATGATGCATATGTGACCATATTATCTGATTTGGAAGCAGCAAGTTGGTACTGAGAAATCTGACTTAATGTGCACAAAAAAGTAAAACTGTACATCTCATAACAGTGCATCCTGCAAATAAAGAACAAATATAAAATCTGAAACTGTGAGGCTGTTGCAAAACTTCTTCCCAGATATACGAAAAGACGTCTTTCATGAAACTCTAAAAACATAAACCATGAAACAAGAAGCAATTGATGGCTGCCTTAAAGTGTAACTTCTGATGTAGAAGGTAGTTGTGATAATCCCAAATAGTTCACAAAACTTAAGTAAAATCTGAGGGCAACAGCACAAACATGTTACTTTTCAGGGATGTGGAGGTGTGCACGAGTCAACCTCTTTTTTTTATTTTGGAATAATTACTCCCTAACCTGTGATAGGGTTATATAAGATCACTGGGAACTAAAAACTTTTTAACTCCCAAATATATTGTATACAACCAACCTATCAGTTCTATCAAAATCTTGTACAGAATATGCCTTGTTCAGTGAATTAAATAAAATCCTTTGTTGTTGTTGTGCTTGCTTGTTTGTGTGTTTGAGACAGGATTTCTCTGTGTAACCCTGGACTGGAACTTGCTCTGTAGACCAGACTGGCCTTGAACCAGAGATCCAACCACCTCTGCCTCCACTTCTGCCTCTGGAGTGCTGGGATTAATGATATACACAACCTCTACAAAATGCCCATTTTATAACCAAGTGTTATAACCACGTAATTTATTGACTACTATACTTAAAATGAAAAAAAAGAATGGCTGTTCATTTCCACTACATTGAAAAATCAAAAAATTGGAAGCCCGAGACAGTCTGTAAATGCGAAAGCCAATGATTCTTTACTTTCCTAGTAGTTAGATTAGACCCAATTCTTTGTCTTGATTTAACTCTCCTGTTCTTGTAAAGCAGAAATAGATATCTATTTCAGTACCTTGTATGTTATCACACTAACTTTAAAATGCTAGAAAACATATTGGGGATTTTACATATTGCAATAAGTTACACCAAAATTCACAAGCCTCGTTTGCAACAATTTTCATTGAACTTTAATTTTTCAACACAGATTTTAAAAGGGATTTTGTGGTAGGTTTATTCCCATTTTTCTGAGGAATCTCCATACTGATTTGCAAAGTGGCTGTAACACCCCCATGGAGGGCCTCACCCTCCCTGGGGAAATGAGGGGATATTGGGGGGGTTGGTGGGAGGGCACAGGAGGAGGGGAGGGAAACGGAGAGGGACCCGGAAATGGCATGTGAAGCAACCTTGTTTCTAATTTAAATTTAAAATAAAAAATAAAAAATATATATAATAAAAAATAAATTAAAAAGGGATTTTGTGGTCAATAGGTACTAACTTCTATATATTTAACTAAATTTGCCACTATTTAAGGAGTTCAGAGTAGGGTCACTACAGAAAAAGGAGCATAGAGGCAAGGGAAACTTAGAAGTCTTTCTGAACATGGCAGCACTTACTTGTGAGGATTGAAAGCAAAGACAAGTTCAGTTATTTTCTCTTTTGTTTATTTGGGTTTTTTTTTTGGCTTTTTAAAAATAGTCTAGAAACAAGTATCAACCAAGTGTATTTTTGCACACATCTAACCAGCCCATGATCATAGCTCAATCTGTTCTGTCTTAATCATGTGCAGAACATGCGTTATTACGGTGAATTAAATCACATTTTCTTTTCTGTTGTTGTCTTTTGTTTGTTTGTTTTTTGAGCCACAGTTTCTCTGTGTAGCCATGGTCATCGTGAAACGCATTCTGTAGACCAGGCAAGTTTTGAACTCAGAGATCTGACCTGCCTTTGCCTTTCAAGAGCTGGGATTAAAGATGAGCCACCACTACTTGCTACATCTGACAAAATTCTTGTTTTATACTGATCCTTAAATACCATTTTATACCCCCCCCCTCCTTTTTTGCACCCAATAACAACTATTTTCAAAGAGTAGGCAGAAGTAGCGTGGAACTTGTGTTGAGTGCCTACTGAGGAAAAGATGACAATTCACATAGTTCTGCATCCCCATCCCTGTTAGAGCCTTAGTTTCACCCTACATCACTAGCTGCTGGCTCTGCACTATTCAGTAGTTTGTTATATTTGTGCGTCCCTGCTCACCTTTCCTTTAGAAAACTCAGATTTGTGTTTATTCATACAATGAGGTTTGAAACCAAGCACAACAACACTGGACTGTAGACCCAATTTTCACATATTCTTTCTTAAAATCTCTCCCACAAATTCCCAAGAGAGTTCATAAGAACTTTCTATCAAGTTAAAGAATTAGAGAAATGCTTACCTTCAAAGTAGATGCCTGACTGGATTTCTACGACCCTGGGGAGGGTCCGTAGGTCAAGGGAATGGACAAATTCTTCCAGCGATAAAGCCATTGTTCTGTCTTGGGTGCTGTACAGATCTGACACTTAGAAAAACTTGTGGTTTCTGGGTGTCAGTTGTCTGCAGCTGTTTTCTTTACACATAATTCCTCCATCAGGCAGTCAGAAAGTCTAAGGGGAGCCAAATCAGGGTAGACAGCGCCAAGTGGAGTGGTACTTGTCCAAAGTGACTGTTCTTCACAATTTCTACCTGGAGCAGAGAGGAGGTCACACTGAAGCCAAGCCCAGGAGGAACAAATAGAGCAGAGGACAACAGAGAATAGGCAGGAGGCAGAGTGGGTAAAGCCCTTTTTATTCTCCTGTGGCTTCATTTCCTTCTGATGCTGAAGTTGAACAGTGTGGGGGTGGGGTGTGCTTGTCTGAACTGACACTACCCAAAGTAATGAGGTTGGCAAGTTGCCTGGGCATCCACAGCAGTGGCTAGACTATGAAGAAAAAGTCACCTGTGGTGTGACCACCGCACATGGCCAGAACGCGGGAACAATGTCTTACTTTAAAAATAGCACATCAAATTCGTTACCTCTCTGCATCTAGAGTTCAGCTTGATGTTTTATTTGCATACTCTTGGTGCTTTTATATTAAACTTGATTACAAAAGAAGTCCGGGTCAGCTGTTTTGAGAAATATGATACTCAGAAGAGGGCTAGAAACCACTTTTATCTTTCTACATTTAAATTTTTGCTGAACCTTAAAGGAAGGTGGGGGAGGGTGACATATGAAAAGTGACTCAGGAATTAACATGGTAAATTGATGAGAACTTTCTGGCCTCCGCACTGTGAAGGAAAACGTTTAAGAGCAGTGCTTAGAAACATGACTCTTAGTTCTAGGATTACTTTCGACTTACAGGAGAACATTTCCTCTCAAGAACTCATTGGGTGATTAAACATAGATTTAAAACCAAATAAACAAAACTGTGCAAGTCCCCAACTCTACATTTCTGCTCTCATGCTCAAAATGTAAAGTTGAAAATGCCCAAAGCCAAAGGAAACAAGAGAAACCCTGTGAAAACTAGTTTTTAAGCATCAAAATCAATTCCCCTGTTTGTTTTCACTTTTGATTTTTTGAAACAAGATTTCACTTTGGAGAGCAGGCTGAACTCAAACTCCTGCCAATCCTCTGCCTCTGAGCTGGGATTGGAGGCATGGGTCATATGCTAGGATTGCAGGTATGTGTCATGTGCTAGGATTACAGGCATGGGTCATGTGATAGGTAGGGGATTACAGGCATGGGTCATGTGCTAGGATTACAGGCATGGGTCATGTGCTAGGATTGCAGGTATGTGTCATGTGCTAGGATTACAGGCATGGGTCATGTGCTAGGATTACAGGCATGGGTCATGTGCTAGGATTACAGGCATGTGTCATGTGATAGGGGATTACAGGCATGGGTCATGTGATAGGGGATTACAGGCATGGATCATGTGCTAGGATTACACGCATGTATCACCACACCCAGTTTAAAGCAGGGTTGTTGTGGTGGTGAATTTTTTAACTTAACTCTTAACTGATTCTTTGTGTCTTTCATATCACGCATCTCAATTCTATTCATTTCCCAGTCCCTTCAAATCTACCCTGTACCCTTGCAACCTCCCCCACAAGATAAAACAAAACAAATTTTAAAAGAAAAAGAAAAACCTCATCATGGAAGCAGCAATGTGACACTGTGAGTCACACAGTATACCCTTTAGTTCATACATCTTAATTGTACGTGTTCATTGCAGTGAATCAGCAACCTGGCTTGAGGCCTCTGGTTTCTGCTGCACCCTCGATACTGGGCCCTCACTGGGATTCTTCTTGGATAACCTGTTGCTGCTCTGTGTCATGGAGATCCTGCAGCTTTGGGTCCTCAGGAACAACCCGTAGATGGATGGGCATCCATTTTAGGATGTACCAACTCACAGCCCTGGATCTGGGCCTGGGTGTTTGCTGGCTTGTTCAGCCCACCCAACCTCCCCCATCCTCAACACCAGCGTGAGCTCTCCAGCACCTTCTGGCTAGCTCACCCTATGCGGTAAGCAGCAAGGGGTGAGGCCGGTTCTCCTGCTTTACACCATCAGGGTTGGCTCACCGACACCTATGCCATCAGGGCTAACACTACTGTGCTTCCCATGCCAGGTGCAGGGGTCACTCTGCCAAGTGCTATAGATGGTAAGAGGCAGGACCAGTTCTTTTGCCTTGTGACCTCAGGGACAGCTCTCCTACCTGGTACAAGCAATGAGAGGTGGCTTCTCTCCCTCACCCATGCCACCATATGGCAGATGAGGGGTGGGACCAGATTTCTCATACTCATTGTCTCAGGGCCAGTTCACCTGACCGGGACCCTATGGTGACATGGTCAGCTCTACTGTGATGCCCAGGTAATGTGCAGAACATGCTCTCCCAAGTGATGTGCAGGGCCTGCTCTCCCTAGTGTTGCAGCCAGGGAGGGGCAGGACCATTTCATCCACTCTTATGGCCCAGAGACCCACTCTCCTGCCTAAAGCAGGAAATGAGGGGCAAGGGGCAAGGAAGGCATCTCTCCCTCCCCTACACCACCTCACAGGTTTCATGACCTCAGGGCCAACTCTCCCACCTGCCACTGGTGGTAAGTGGAAAGGGAGGGGGGCAGCATCTCCCTCTTGCTCATGCCACCCTATGGCAGATGAGGGGTGGAGCCAGATCTCCCATGCTCACATTCTTGGGGCTGGCTCAACTGTCAACAGAGTCAGCTTGTGGTTTTATTTTTTAATGCTTTCTATTCTTTGTACTTAATTCAAACAGTATTTTAGAGGTTACACATACAATTTGAAGTGAGAGTGTATTTTTCAGGTAAATAAAGGAAAATTGGATGAAGTCAGTAGACTTGAAATATGCTGAAGTTACTTACCCTCCTCATAGTCTAGATTATGTGCTCACTGCCTAACCATGGTATAACACCTACCAAAGACTTTATCCTCTTCATAGTCATGTTTGGCCCTTCATTCTATACAAAACCAGGGTTAATGGCAAATTGCATCAAATGTTCTCTGCCAGTAATGTCTGCATAGTCACTTGAAATATCTTGTCCCCTGAATGTCCCAAGCTTGATAAATCTGTCTGTCTTCTGTGCCTTTCTCCCTTAAGCCTGGGCCTCTTACTTGACTGCAGACACTATATAGCCTAGTGGCATATTTCAAATGGCTTTAAAATACAGAAAGGTCTGTCTCTTGAAAGTCACACATTTGTTAGAGTTGGTACCATAGTAAATTTTATTTGGTATGTAATCAGTGCTGGGTTTCACTTGATGTCTTTAACTTTCAACTACAGAGTCTGTCCTTCTAGCCAAAGCTAGAAGATTCCACTGTATCATCAGATGTTTATACTTACTCATTCTGCCCCTCTGCTTTTCACACAGAGATCCTCCTTGTATTTCTGGTTTTCCTGGATTCTCAATCATGGATTTAATGATTCTATCATTTCTAAGAGTGTCATACTAGAAGGCTTAAGGCCATGTGTGAACAGACATTTCTGACAGCCTCGAAATCCCTCAAGCTCTACAGGTGACAGTCCTTAAGGCCATTCCTCAGACCTTGTCCTGTATTGCCATTGCTGCCACCTTAGCCCAAATTGTCACTACTTCTGTCATCTCAAAGACATCCTAATGTGACCAGCCAAGGTGAAATAAGCAAAAGAGGGAAATTAATTGAACTGATGTATAGTGAAATGAATTACTGAAGTTCAGTCATGAATACAGAAATGGCAGGTTTAATCACAGTCAGACTAGTGAAAGTTCAGAAACAGACACTATGTCACAATTTCCATTCTGCAGAAAGTAGATTTTCAAGGCAGTAAGAAAGAAAGAAAGAAAGAAAGAAAGAAAGAAAGAAAGAAAGAAAGAAAGAAATATTTTCAGATACTTATTAAATAATTGCGGGGAAAGGGGATTCTAAAGCACTCCATGAAAGAAAACTAAGATAAATTTTAAACTTAAATTTAAATGTAAAGAAACCAAAGTCAAGGTAGGTAGGTGTGACTGAGAGTTTATAAGAACTTCTCTCAAACATTAATTGGAATCTTAAAGTAAAAGACTAATAAATTTGACAACAAGCCTTTGAAATACTTCCATATATCAAAACAGGATTTTAACAAAAATTATAAAGGATTCACTCAATGTAAAGAATCGGCAGTCTTGATGTCCAAGTTGCACATGTCAATTGGTGTGCAGAATAAAGGTGTTTGGCGACTTCTGCTTCAGACCCTGAGATGGTATCTGATCAACTCTTCTACCAAATTCTTTGGAAAACCCAAATTTCTTTAAAAGCAATAGTAAGGAATAGACAGGCTGCCAGAGCGATGAGGCTAGGAGCCAGAGTCTGGAAGGAGGGGATGCCCTGTGAGAAGAACTCACTGTTGCTGTTGTGCTTTTCCCTCTGACCAGGCATTTGTAGATTAGTATTTGGTACCAATAAAGAGGCTGAGAAGCATGGCAAAGTCTGGCAACTGAGGAGAAACTGTGTCTAGTTTTTAGCAGCATCTGGCAGCTAGAGACACCAAATTTTGGACAAATGGAACATCCAGGACAACTTAGGGAAATATTCTGTTTTGCCTCACTTGCCTTTGGGTTTTTTTGCCTACTCAAAGGCATCAGTGTTGACCATATGCAACAGTATGATTCTGTATGAGCTAGAAAGAGACCAATCAATACATCCAACAATGCTTCAGAGCAGCCCTGGCCTGAGAGAGGGAGGAACACCTATAAATGCCAGCAATGGCAGCTACAGACTCTGAAGTGTCCCACAAACACAAAACTGAAAGACACATCACAGTACTTGTATAAATGCACATGTATACATAATGTTAAAATGACTTCTAGAAATTAAATACATAATTTAAAACATAATGTGGTACCATAAAATAAAACAATAGCATATATAAGTGAGGTAACTCAATTGCTAGACTTATTAGTACTGAATTGAACCTTGTGGGACATTATGGGGGCATGCCTATAACCTACAGCTTCCAATACCTTGAAGGCTAAGATGGAGAACAAGTGTTAGAAACCCACTGGCTTGCACACTCAATAATCCCATAAAAACTCTAAACTGGAAGCCATAATGCATACTCAGAAGGCCAGATGCAGACTCATGCAGACCTTGTGTATGCTGCTTTAGACTTTGTGAGTTCATATGAGCTTTTCGCATGTTGATTTACACGGCCTTATTCCTTGGTGTAATCCATTCCCTCTGGTTCTTATACTCTTACTGTCTCCTCTTCTTAGCAGTTCACTGAACTCTGAGGGAGACATCGCA